CAGCGGTGGGGCAGGAGGAGGAATGGCGCTAGGGGAGGGCAGAGGAGGCAGGCGGAGGCGGAGAGCGAGCAGGAGCATGGACAAGCGACACTAACACCACCGGGGACCATCAGCGGGAGGAGCCGGGGAGGGGTCCTCACTCCTGGTGGTGTGGCCCCCCCAACTCGCCCGAGACATCCTCTGCCCCCAGCTCGGGGAGGCGTCGTGGACCTCCTCGCTGGAGGTGGTACCCCTGGTGTCGTTGGTTTTGCTTCGCTTCCCCACCAGCGAGGCGGAGCGGCAGAAGCAGCAGCAGGAGGGACATGTGTTTCTGAACGTTTTCTTAGTCAGCGTTTCGACATTGGGCGGAACGGGGGGGTGGAGGAGGGGGAGGGTCTGGCTCGGGACCTCTTGCAACAGTGCGCCCTATGGGGAAGACTCCATCTGCTCGAAACAGGCGCCAAAATGGGCCAAGATGTACTCCACGGGAGGAAGGGGGAGGAGGGGCTGTGCGAGGGCCCGCGCCGATCGGCAAAGCCAGGAATATGAAAACGATCACTTTGCTGCTGGGGGCCACCCTGGCAGTCCCTGCCCCAACAAGCCTTCGGGTGAGAGGGGCGAGCCTGCCGCGCAGCAGGAGAGGAGGGAAAGGGCACGAGCAGGGAACGGAAGGAAGCTTGCCATCGGCCCCCCCGAGCGAGGCGGCGTGGCAGGAGCTTCCGCAGCAGCAGTGCTGGGAGCCACCCCGGTGCTCTTCGCCCGGCCCGCGCTCTCGCCATCGCTCAGACGACGGCCCATCGCCCCGGTGCACTCCACTCTCTGGCAGGAAGAGCCCGGATGTTCCTCGATGGGCCCTGGCCCCCTCCCCCCTCGCCAGATCCATGGATCGGGGGAGGTGCCCTCACCAAAAGGCGGCCGGTGCCGCCTCGTTCGGGGGCTGAGACCCACGACCTCCCATGGAAACGGGACCCGTCGCTAATCCACGCCCCCTTCATCCATCTTCGCGATCGCCCCAAACATGCGGCGCACGTCCGAGCGATGCCCAGGCACTGCCTTCAGCCCCAAATCCCCCCCCCCGCCCCAGAAGGCGGCGCCCCGCACCCCGCCGCAGGGGGGAGCGAGCGGGGCGCCTCTCTCGTCAGGAAACGGGGGGGGGGGCGGCCACGCAGCAGGAGAGGAGGGGGTAGAGCACGAGCAGGGGAGAAGGAAGAGGGACAGGCGGGGCAGAAGGGGAAGGAAGAGCATGGGGAAGTGATGGGCCAGTTTTTCACCAACACCACCCTGAGTTGGAGGGGGAGGGGGTCCTCCTCCTCCTCCTCAACTTCCTCCTCCTCCTCCTCCTCTTCGTCCTTTTCCTCCTCCTCCTACTCCTTCTCCTCCTCCTTCCCCCCTCCGGCTTATGGTGGTGGTGGAATACAGGCCCACCAGGAAGGCAGGGCAGGGGAGACGCCCGAGCAAGGGAAGGAAAGAAAGCTCGCCGCCGCTCGGGCGGCCCCTCCCCGTGCGGAGGTTCCGCTTCCGTGCGTGCTTTTATTTTTTTTGTGTTGTCCTTCGGCGATCCACGGGACGCGGGCGGCCTGCCTCGCAGCAGCGTGAGGAGGGACGAGCACGCGCAGGGGAACGAAAGAGAAAGCTTGCCATCGCTCGGACGTCCATTTACCATATGTGTTTCGATGTCGTGCGTTCCTTTTTTTCTCCTGATTTTCGATGAATGGTCCAAGATGCTTCTCGATGGTCCTCGCCTGAAGGGGTGTGGCACGGAGGCCAGTGGAAGCGGCACCGTGAGGAGGCAGGAGCAGAAGGAGAGGAGCAGGAGGAGCAGAATAATGCCGAGGACACAAAAAGAGTAGGATGAGGAGGAGGAGCAGGAGGAGCAGGAACATGACACGGGGATGGTGATGATGATGATGATGATGATGATGATGATGATGAGGTTGATGATGATGCTGATGATGATGATGATGATGATGAGGTTGATGATGATGATGATGATGATGATGATGATGATGATGAGGTTGATGATGATGATGATGAGGAGGAGGAGGAGGATGAGAAAGAGGAGGATGAGGGTGAGGAAGAAGGACGCAACAAGCCTAGCACTCAGTGTCCGCTCGACGCAAAAAAGGGAGGAGGAGGCGGAGGAGGAAGGCGAGAAGGGGAAGGACGAGGAGGAGGGGGAAGGAGGAGGAGGAGGAGGAGGAGGCGGAGCAGGAGGTGGAGGAGGAAGAGGACGTGGGTCAACCCAGGAGCCGCCCCGAGTGCCCTCCGCACGAGCTCCTGCACGTCTCTCCTTTTCCTACTTCGGGCGGAGCTCCCTGGACAGGCAGACGCTCGCTGTGCCTGCCCTTTTTCAGGGCGGGGACCCCATGTTCGGAGCTCTGGCCCGTGGCCGCCCAGCGATCCACAATGAGAGCAGGCAGGGCCTCGCTGCTCGAGGCAGCTTCCAGCGAGGGCCCCGGTCTTGAGAGGGCAGCCCTCGAGCGGTGCAGCATGTGCCGCCCAGTTATCAACGAGGAGAGGAGGCATGACCATGCTGCTCGAGGCAGCTCCCAGCGAGAGCCCCGGTTTTGGAAGGGGCCGCCCTCGAGCGGTGCAGCATTTGCTTGCACACATCTGCACTTTAAACGGGGGAGCGACAGATCGCCTGCGAAACTCATCGTCGTGAAAACTAAGGGCTCTCAAAGGAAGGCCTCATGTTGAACGTATGCCACCGTCGGACATGCAATTGTCGCTTCACACAACCTTAGGCGCATGCTCAACGCATCCGAAGTCTGATGCGAGATCCACCTTCTCGAAAACTCGCTGCCCTCCATCCTTGTGGCTGCTGGAATCTTTTGAGATGATAGAACGCGGGGCCAAAAACAATAACCATATCTAGAAAAGTCACGCGCCCTTTACCTGTGAAGTTGTAGAATTCTTCAAACTCTAGCGTGAGTGGCGGTGGGGAAGTCCCCAGCGCAAGCCCAGTTCGCGAATCGCCACGTCTAGTGGGGCGACAGCTTGGGTGGGACAGGAATCATGCAAGTACTCAGCATGTCAAGTACTTAGCATACTTTGAAGTGGCTTCCCAAGTACTTAGATAAGACTGGTCGAAGTCTCTCCTAAGTCTCCCGCGAGTTTTCATAACAAAGATATTAGTTGCCAAAACAAAGTGCTCATCTAATACTTAGCTCGCATTGCTAAGCACTTAGCTGCTAAATGTCTTCCAGCTCTCGTGTCAAGTCGCTTCGACGTCTCTTCTAATTATCTTAGCTGAGCCTCTGTTTAACCAACGCTACGTCTAGCAAGCTAACTACTTAGCTCGACTTGCCACGCACTTAGAACACAGCCCCTAGTCTACTAGCGAATTGCTTCTCTAACAAGAAAACGACGCGACCAGGGGGACGAGGAAGGCAAGGCCGCATGAGGATGGCGGTGATGATGCTGGCGATTGCGACAACGGGGCCGCAGATGATGATGATGATGATGATGATGATGATGATGACGATGATGATGATGCTGTTGATGCTGATGATAATGATGCTACTGCTGATGCTGATACTGGGGCTGCTGCCGCGAATTATACATATGGTAGTAATCCTGATGATGATGAAGATGGTGATGGTGATGCTGATGATGGTAATCATGGCGATGACAACGATGATGCTGATGGTGCTAGTGATGATGCCAAGTATGCTGACATGGATAATAATGTTGATTATGATGATGATTGTGAGTATGCTGATCATGACGATGACGATGGTGATGGTGGTATTGATGCTGTTGCTGATGCTGGTGATTCTGATAATGATGCTTATGATGATGAATCCGATGATGGCGATTTTGATAATGATTATGATTATGATGATGATGATGATGATGATGATGATGATGATGATGATGATGATGATGATGTTGGCGATGACGATGACCATGCGGATACTGATGATGCTGATGATGATGCTGCTATGCTGATGGTGCTGCATGTGACGATGCATATGATGATGGTGCTTGGTGTGTTGCTGCTAATGCTCATGATGCCGATGACGATGATGATGATTATGATGCTGGTGACGACGTACATGATGGCAATGATACTGATTATGATGATGATGCTGATGCTGATGCTGCTGTTGATGATTATGCTGCTAACTATGATGATGATTGTGATGGTACTGCTGATGATGCTGATGATGGTGCTGAATATGATGATGTTGATGATGCTGTTGACGATGACGATGATGATGATGATGATGATGATGATGATGATGATGATGATGATGCTCGTGATAATGCACCGTGACGGCGGTGACGAGAGAGATGACACGAGTGTGGCTGAGATGAAGATGATGATATGATCGCCATGATGGAGACTGGGCTGCACGCAAAGAGTAAACCTAGACAAGAGCGATCATTGGTGCGCAGCTTCACGGGGTGGCGCCGGAGGGGCCAAACCCAAGCGCGCAAACCGACGATATCGCGTTGCGTTCAGCGATCGGAGGACTCCAGTGGGACCGCACCGCAGGTCACTCCGCCGAAAGTTCACTCGGACGTATAGCCAAGCGATGTGGACGACGAGGCAAGGCGCAATGCGAGCAGCGGCGCGACCCCCAATTGATGGGGCGGGGGGGAAGCCTGCGGCGCCTGGCCACCTCGCTCGTCGCACAGAGCTCCACCACCGCCTGGCCGCAGCCACGAGGACTGCTCCCCCTGCATCGTCGTCGTTGCCGTCCTCCTCCTCCCCCTCCCCCTCCTCCTCCTCTGCTTGCTCCTCGGTGGCTTCCTTCTCCTCGTCCTCCTCGTCGTGGTCGTCGTCGCCGTCCTCCTCGAGGGCTTCCTTCTCTGGCGTCCTCCTCCACATCGACACGTTCTGCTCCTCTTCGTTCTCGTCCCCCCCCTCCTATCCTTCGAAGGCCCTCTGCTCCCTCTGCGGCTGCCGTGCTGCATAGTGACCGGCGACGACGCGCATCTCTGGAATTGATGCCGACACCAGAACTGATTGCATGCTCGCGGATCGGCTTCCAGCCAGATGGCGAAGATGA